ATATTGTATTGAATATTTTCAAGCATAAGCAATATTTATTCAAATTAATTATATTGTTGTGAGAGAAATTACTTTAAATATTTTCGTAATTCAAAAGAATAGCTAAAAAAGCTTGAATATCCTTAATTTACTTCATAAATTAAGTGGAATGTACTTACATTGCGTTTTCATCTCCAGTATTTTTTCGATGTTCATCGTGCATCTATTCAATCAACAGGGTATAATGAGAATATTCATTTAAATTTTCCGCTATATGTGGTCTAAAATAGAATAAATACTTTACATAAGCTTGCAAATGAGTAACTGTGTGAATATTTGGATTGGGGTGGGACCTAATTCATTCAAATCATTCACGCTCTCTTGGGTTTAGGCTTTAATTATTTGTTGTTTCATCTGTGATATCTAACATCTACCCTTGTAACAACACCTGTCATGTGTTTGATAATGCAAAGGTGATTAAATATATTCCTTGGTATTTTTTCTGATGTTATTAAGAATTTGAACGCAGATGCTTCTTTGCATCTAAATTCTTGCTTACAATGCGATTTTGTTGGAATAACGATATTATCAATTTTTCAACAATCAACTTTCAACATTCTCCTCTCGTTATTTCTATAAATATACCGATTCACTAACTGTTTTAATGTCATTGCCTTTTTTTAGAAAACGTGTTAATAATAGACGAAATTATATTTAGTATATATGATATTCTCATGGAGATCTACACCTCATTATTGCATGTTCCATCACATTTAGAATTCATCATTTCTTCTAGTTGATTTATCAAAAATTAAAAAAAAATTCTTTCATACCTGAGCAAACCACATTACCTAAAATTTTGGCTTTAATTAATAATACTATCATTCCCATTTCACTCTCTCAATACGTTACGATGATTCAACTGCAGGAACCGTCCAGGAAGTGAAGTGGAGTTTGATGGGATGCAGGAGGTGGAGGAAGACCAAAGACGTTTGAATCTTTCGCTATTCCTTCCCGGACGTCTTTCTAACCAGGAAAATACTGAGGAAAATTATTTGAGACGTAGAAGTCTTCTCCAATAAGGAAATGAAAAAATTTAAATATTTTCCGCTCAAGAACCACGTTTACGTATTCTCCTAATAACTTGAGTAAAACAAGCACCAAAATAAAAATCAGTAAAACTCTTTCGAAATATCACAGCTCAAAGTCTCATAATCCGAGATACAGAATTGAGGTCGTTGATCGCGAATGTCGCAGTGCTCGAGTAAATGAACAAACCCATTTTGCCCTCATATAAACATTGGCCTCTATTTCAGTCAACATATGTACGCTTATAATTGGCTTCGATGAAAACAATCGTGAAGCATGCAAGGCTCAATTATCGTTGAGTAATAATTAAAACGGGTAACTTCTGAAGCAGCGGAATTAAACTAGGGCCAAAAATATTTTACTCGTGAGGTGGAGTCCGCTAGCGCCTGTGTGTTATTCATCTATACGATTTTGCTTTCGCTTAACATTTTCTTATCGTGATTCGCCTTTTCGTATACATGTGCTAGGAAAATTTTGTAAAAGCCACCAAAATTAATGACCGTGAAAAAGATTTTTTTGTGAGTTTCGGTAAGTGGTAGATGCATGAGGTAGTAGACAAAATGCACGCCAAACTTCATGGTTCTATAACGCCTGCCTGCAAATAGTAAATGATAACAATTTTTTGACGATGTAGCGTCATATAAGGCTCCTAAATTGCGGTGTTCTTAAATGGAACAGAATTTTCACTACCGCAATTGAGATTGGAAATGAAATCCTGAATTGGATTGTACATCACTTTAGGCCCACGAATCGACTTCTTTCCGATCGAACTACTTTTCAGGATGCATTGACGTACGGCGAAAGTTTTTATGATAGCTTTAACGTTCTGCGTGTCTAAAGCTTTCCTAGAGCTCTTGAGGAATTTTAAAATATGAAAAAAAACATGCAAATGAAGAAAGCCGTATTATTATGATTTTTTACTGTGTATCGTCTCAAACTGTGCACACGAATAATTGGTTAGAGGTGGTCGTCACTTAGACTTTTTCTGGCGTTATTGTGCCGCCTTCGTATATATAGACCACATATACAAAGGCTAACAAGTGGAACTTGTCCTTGACCCAGATCTCTTGAGATAATGATTACTGACATGTCAACTCTCGTGTTCAATCTCAAAAAGATTCTTACGAGTTCTCACCTGAATGATTTTGATGCGACATGCCGAAGTCTGAGCATGTCGCTTCAATCCCACGAACTACTGAAGAATCGGAAATACCACTGCACTTGAGTTTACGATGAGGTTCTTTCAACTCTTCATTAGTATCTCTAGCATGCATCTCGCTCGCACCAGTCCACGGCCCAGCTGAAGCGCCGCCCCAGTATTCCGATGTCCTCCGCCTCGCCAGGCAAGTCATCTTCGTCGCCAAGGTTCAGGGGACCAGGCTATAATTAACGCGCATCTGCCCTCAGTTAGCAGGCTGATCCACTATACTGTTTCTTTCTTTTTTGCCGCTGGTAGTGGGGGACTGGCAGTGATCAGAGATTATGCCCAGAAACCTATGGCCAGCCGTCTCTTGGAAGTCTCAGGGGTGAATTCCCCTCCTTTTAGCTCCATTGGCAAAACATTAAACAACCTCGGTGACACCACGGAAAAGGATCCTTCCCGCAGATATGAAAATTAATGAGGGTATCTTCCACAGTTTCCCCATCTCTAATTTTGGTATGTCAAAATCCTGAAGGTCTAGCATTCGAAGTTGGGGAACAGTCTGAACCCAGGCGCTCCGGCCTGCCTCAGTTGTTCAGCTCCCTCCTCCCGCTGATCATAGAAGTGAAGGTTTACTGGACCGCTTCCAATCACCGCACTGCGCCTGTTGTGAACGGGATTCAAAGCTGGCAGCTTTATTCATGAAAAAGAATCCAAAAGTCAACTACGAATGTGATTATGTGTTCTGCATCTTTTGTTCTGAACTTCTGCAAGAGCCCCCCCCACATCAGCCGCCTGTCTCTTGCAGTTATTGCCGCAATGTGAGCGCCAAACTTGACCTGGGTACTTATACAGGGTGCGGCGCGGGAACTTACTTATTTGAATTGCGCGCCACGTGGCGGCCATTAGTCCTAGGAAGGTGGCGCCATGCGCAATATGGTGCGCGGGCTATGAAGTTTTTCGTCCACTCAGTTCAGTTGCGACCATGCATGCAAAAAACCATGGTGCCCATGGTTTTTTGAAGAGAACGATAGGGCAGTTACAGTCACTTCTGAACGGTACATTCAGATGATTCAAGAGTTTTTCCTTCCAAAACTTGATGAACTTGGTGTAAGGAATGTGTGGTTTCAACAAGATGGGGCCACGGCTCACACAGCACGCGCTTCAATGGCTCTCTTGCGCGAACACTTTCCACAACGCGATCTCCAGTGGCCAGCGCGCTCGCCGGACTTAGCCCCCTGCGATTATTTTTTGTGGGGATACTTGAAATCCTTAGTGTACACCAATCGTCCGAGGACCCTAGCTGAACTGAAGAACAACATTCGCGTTGCTATTGCTGACATTGGTCCAGACATGCTTGAGAAGGTGGAGCGAAACTTCCGATCTCGTCTGACAAAATGTATTGAACAGCATGGAGGTCACCTACAAGATGTAATATTCAAGAATTAAACTTGTAAGTAAACCCAACGAAACTTTAAATGTAGCTCTTTGTAAAAAAGAAAGAATTAAAACGCTATCTTTAATACTTTTTACTTTGTGATTTTTTTAAAAGAGTAAGTTCCCACGCCGCACCCTGTATCAACACTCCGACATTGCCTATATTAGATCAAGTCCAGTGCCGTGCATCGGAGTTGCATTTAAACACTTCCGTTACCTCTGTTTCTAAGAATTTCAAACTCGATTCCCTTGAATTACATATTTTTCACCTAGGCCGAGTTATATACCGCGGACAGATCATCTTGCCAACTCTCATAGTCTGTCCTATATCTGTAATTGTTCTAGCAACCTGATGTCCGCCGGGAATGACGATGTCGAGGCACGGCTCACTTCCTTTCCGGGGCTCACATTTCAACATCAATTCGAGCGCGTAAAACAATCAACGAAAAAAATTTCACGAAAAGTGCATTCAAATTTTAATAAACTCGCGCATTTTCCCCTATTTTACAACACTTCTCTTTAACTTCACTTCTTGTCTGTCTGTCTGTCTGTCTGTCTGCTACAAATCTTGTAATCAAAATTTAATACACTTCTACTTATCCTATTGATCTGAAATTTTGCACACTTGTTTGAAGTTGAAGACAATGCATGAATCAAATGTCAAAATAAATGATTTTTAAAATTAAAGAAAAATTTTTTTTATATATTAAAAAAATTGAAGAAATAATTTTGTCAGCTACGGCTACAAATCTTATAACTGATATTTGACACACTTTTACCTGTCTAATTGATCTGAAATTTTGCACACTTGTGTGAAGTCAGAGGCAATACATGAATCAATTAACAGAATAAATGATTTTGAAAAAAATTTATATATTAAAAAATGTACCTATATATATTAAAAAAATTGAAAAATAAATTTTTTTAATTTTCGAATATTAGATGAGAAATTCATTGTACATCTGTAAGATTGGAGATACCGTACTGGATTCTTTGGAAGTGTTGTCTTTAAAAAGTAATTTTTAAACGTATATTATTGTTATTTTAAACCATTCAGCAATCGGAAATATTTTGATCCTCAGTTAAATTCTTAACATGCTGGAAATTGAAAAAATTAAACTTCAAATCACAAGTCTTGGATAAACCCATTTATTCCCTCTGTCTAATTAGCGGAAATTCATGTTTACTTGTTTGAGATTTCAGGAGGTTGTGGTGGCTCGTTGAATCCGTCGGAGCTCACACTCGACGCTACAAAATAAGGGAATAATATTCTTAAATATACTGAGATAATTATTGGATAATATAAATAAAATATTTTTAAGCATTTAAAAATTAAAAAATACAATTAATAATATTTAAATGAAACTACTCTTTTAGGTACTATTTATAAAGCTAGTTTCTAAGTCCGGCAGCCTGCCATTTAGGGTGTAGCTGATGCTAAGACTACTCTAACCGAAGAGAGCTCTTCAGGTAGTCTATTTTTTTCTTGTAGGTGTTCTTCACGAAGATGAAATCGTTACCCCATCCTTCAGGTAAAGCGACTTCATTGTAAGACCAATAATTTCGTTGTTTCATGTAGTGCTTCAGTTCAAGTTTGGACCAGGAGCCATGAATGTACTCCACAGACAGTGTCTGTAAGAGTTTAGAAAATTGTCAACATAATTCATGAACATAAAATAAACACACCAAATGTACGGTATGAGATAATACTGGCCAATAAATTTTATAGAATATTGTAATTGTTAATAGGTTTAGGAGTGAAGCGAAAGATTGCTGTACTTGAAATAGAAGATGTTTCGTATTCAAGATTTACCTGTATGTCAATTTTGTCCCATGGAATGGTTTTGAGGACCTCCAGCTCAAAGCCCTCGACATCCAAGCTGAAGTAGTGCACAGTCGTCACGTTGAGTGCCAGCAGCAGGGAGTAGAGGGGCAGACACTGAACTGCGATGACGCCTGTCATGTTTAAGGTGAAATCCACGTCATTGCTGCTTATCTTCCCTAAGTTGAATTGCTGTTCAAACATTACCTGCAGGAATAAAGTGTGCTGAGTGCATTTTGATCGAACCAGAGGGATTTAGTAGCACTCTAGCAATATTAAAGGTATCAGCGATTCCATTTAACTGCTCATAGGAAATTAACTGGAGGAACAAACCAAAATTACTTAGCGTTTCATCATTGATCTTAATGAATGGAGTATAACCAAATGAATTCGGAGCTTGCAGGAAAGAAATAAACGTGTCTTTTAGAGGACTCACGGAATGAGGATACGGCTTCGTGCTGAGACAAGCGCCCACTGTCCACGCCTTCCTGTTCTTCTTGCGCACCAATTCGTAGTTCTTGGGGTCGCCTTCGATCAGGAGGCCTCGCCAGCCCAGGGTCTTCTCGAAGACGAGCGAGTTGGAGCGTGTTTCCCCATCAAGCGCTCCACACTCGACGAAGAATCCATCTCGCTAGTGAGAAATAAAAAGATAGAATATTAATTCAGGCTGCTTTCATAGTGTTCGTTTAGAATAATTTCGACTTTTATTCGGAATAAGAAGCAGGACGATGGCATGAGGTGGAAAATTAAAAGCGTTGACGGTTTGGTTGATAGCACCGCTATGCAACCTTGTACACGGATTACTTATTTGGGTCGGAATAGTTAAATCCAGCGCCTGCAGATGCCTGTAAACTGTAATATACGAGTAGAAAAGAGTTAATTTCCTTTTCCTATAAATATAAATTAAGATGGGCCTTGTAAAACGCTGTTCGTTTTGTTGGGTTTTTGCTTGACGTAAGTCCGCGTTTTTAAGGATAACCACGGTTTCAACAACAAATATCCCGTTTATTGGATTAAAAAGTTGTATCTGTGAGAACAAACAAGTATATTAGCCCTATAAACTTCATTGTATGCCTATAATATTCAAATATAACAAATAATAATCAGAACAAAAACAACTTATATGAAGACATAAAATCTACGCACCGAAATATTGTGGGCAGTTTTGACGCGGGCTACGAACTGAGCTAACATGAAACTATTGATACGTTGTCGGCTATCTACACACTCTAAAGGTAGGATAAACAAGTAAATCATAGGAGCGCATAAAAAAATAGACTATTAAAACTAAGCTAACAAAAGGTTCGCTAAAAATATTTACAGGCCTCATATTATGTGGTTAGTTGTAAAAGTATGCAGACATTCTATGCCTTCATTTGAAATCCTTTTCCAAATAATGATGTAGCTTATCATGGTCGTCGTATGTGAAGACAATAATAGTGCATCCCAAATAAAAGTGCGCATCGATGATTATCAGTGGCTACAGGTGGAAATTATAGGTGGAGCACCGATGGCGCATCGATGCGGCATCGATGGCGTGTGCGGCTTATGTTCCACCTATAACCTGCCTATGGCCACCCTACTGGAAAAACTCTTCTTCCACCAATAACTGCCATTGGCACCGGTGGCGCATCGATGAGCCACCGATGGCCATCTTTAAAATGAAGTCGATAAAAATTTTTCCTTTAGCTTCATATACGATGCATTTACATTTACTGACATTGCTCCAGACAACCATATTCTGAGGATTAGGTATGAATATAAACACTGGTAGTGCAAGTAACAATGTCAGACATGTAACAGGAAAAAATTATCAGAGTACCATGCACATACCTCGTGAGAAATCGACTTGAAGGAAGCCTCAGCCTGCAGGATTAGAACTCCGATCTCCCGGACGCGCAGCAGACCCTCTACCGTTGCGTCATCGGAGAGGCCATGGCAGTCGAGTAATTTTAAAAGATTTAACTGAAGAATTGCAAATATCAATTTCATCGAATGATAGAAGTTAAAGCTCCCACCGTGATGATTAGATGGTTCCATTCGCCATTTTTTATGAACATGCTGCTATAATCGAGAAAACAGTCGCTGAAAGATACTTCGTTTATCCATAACGAACAATGGTTCTGCTCAGAGCACAGGCTACCGGAAAATGCTTGATGAGTATCGAAGTTTCATAATGTGAACATTGCACCAATTATAACAGCGGCTCGATTTGAAATACTTTCGTCAGGTATATTCTTGCGTGTTTTAACGAATTATCACTCGATGACTTGAAAAGTTAGGCGTGAAATACCTTCATCACTTCGTGTCACTATTTTTCTGCAGCCTAATGTTTAATATTTTTCGTAGGAAAGACGTAGACTCTACTTAATTAGAAAAGTAGACGTAAACTCAAATAATTATCTGGCGGTTTAAGAAAATTTCTCCAAAATAATTAAATTTCACTATCGAAGTCAGCCATAGAAACCCGAATTTTTACTCGTATTCCTCTGAGTAAAGAGGATACTATTTTGACAAGCAAATTACCCGGAAAACACGTATTCCAAGCAGGACGTGTTAATGATTAATGAGAAAGAAGCTCAACGCCGACGCGCTCCAACCCAACAGGTATGAACGTGCTCACGTGTAGCTGCTCGCAGCGCTTCAGAGATGCGGGGCCGCTGTCAACTGCGTCAACGTTGCTTTAGATAAATGCGTCAACTTGGAAATAATATAAAAATCGTGAAACACACATAATCGAACAATATAATTTATACTTAATGATACAATCAAGTAGTCTATATTGATCGCAATATTTCAAGCACAGCATACTTGGAGCCTACACAAAATTCGCAATAAATTTACGCAATATACAGTGTGGGGCAGAACCGATTGAGCAGTCTTGAGGCGAAATTAAAGAGTAATGGAGTTACATAAAGAAGAGAGTTTATTTTCCTCGAGGTTAGCATAACATACCATTTAGAATACTGATGTTTTGAAAACAATATCAGGAAGATGGTGGCCGTTAGCTGCAATACACATGAAAAATTGAATTGGTTATCATCTTTTGGAAAACTTTCTTTTTCGCAACAAAATTTTCCACTGCTACTTACCTTTTATATCAGGAGCAGTCCAATACATGCCCAGTTACTTCACTGTAACATAACATAACATAACATAGTGATGTCGGCTCTGAAGTGTAGGCCTGATGTGGCCTGTCGCCGATTCTTTTCCATTTCGTGCCTTGTTCATAGATCTAAACTCGTGTCATTTGACCGGATCTTTTCATGACTGGCGATAGTTTGAAGAAGCTACTAGAACTCCGAGATCTTTTTCCACAGTAGACTTTTCAATCATTACTCTCTCGTTGCAACCATGTCTTCTCATACTGTAATCTTGCTGTTCATTGTTCTTCCCGAGGTGAAGTACTTTACACTTGTCAGCAAATTTGTGAAAAATTTGTGAACGCCCTACAACTGTCCGTCAGTTTTACTCGTACCTACCGAATTCACGCTAAATTAAACGTGAATCAAAATCTTACAAGCCAAGCACGCAGAACGAAATCGTGGTTTCAACTGGATCTCAAATGAACCGCAACCCAATAACTCCTTTCTACCTTGGATAAATCACAGTGGCAAATACCTTCGTGCACTGTTCTGTTTGGGAAAACGGTTTGCGGTGGCTTACAAGAGATTTACCTGCAATGAGTCATCGATGATTCAGATCCTATAAATCATCGATGATTCATCGATGACTGCCGCCTATACTCGCCGCCCTCTCGATTTATTGGAGTTTAATTGTCGATTTTTGGCAGATCTGGCCACCCACCGTTACGCCACCTGTAATCTACCATCGCCACCTATAATCATCGATGCGCCACCCTTAATTTTTACTTGGGATGTGCCTACCTAAAAGATGATTCCGAACAGTTCATCAAAACCGAGTTTCGTTGTTGGTCTGTGGAGGTTACTCATCTCAAGGGCGATAAATTCAATTCTATAGCTTTTTCTTAAAATAATTCTAGATTAAATATCTAAAAATATAATTTCAGATACAGGTAAAACCATCATACCGACACGGCAGGTACCGTGATTACAGGCTCGAATAGATTCTGGATATTTGATAGGACGGAATATCAAAACACTGTTAAGTACACGTAACTCAAAACGGCATATAACCAAACCTGTAAATGGCAAGCCTCTCTGACTTTCAAAAAGGCCAAATTGTTGGTGCCCGTATGGCAGGTGCTAGTGTGACAGAAACTTCCGAAATTCTTGAAGTTCCTAGAGGTACAGTCTCAAAAGTAATGACTGTTTTTTAAAGAGAAGGAAAAACGTCCTCAGCAAAGCACAGGTCTGGCTGAAAGTCGAAGTGTTCTGAGAGAGACTGTCGTTACTTAAATTGAACTGTGAGGGGTAATCGAAAGACCACGGCTGTTAAATAACTGTAGACCTCAATGGACACATACAGAAACTAGTTTCCATAAAGACTGCCCGCCGAGAGCTGCAAAGACCTGGATTCTATGAAAGAGCTGCAACAAGAAAACCTCTGGTCTGATCCACAAATGCTTCAAAGCGTTTGTGGTGCTGTAAAAACCTCTAAATTGGTCTCTCTAGCAATGAGAAAAATGAGATTCTCTCTGATGAAGCAACGTTTGCCTTATTTTCATCCTATGGCAGAGTTTACGTTTGGACAGTCAAGGCAGAGATTCGAACGACTTTCAGAGATGCATGTTAGAGTCGATCCCCGCCGCCATCGTCTGTAAAAGAGCTGGATGGAGTTTTAACTGAAGAATGGCTTTCAATTCCTCTAGAAATAATTCACAATTTGCATGAATCAATACCTCGAAGAATTGAGGCTGTAATTGCCGCGAAAGGTGGACCTACACCATACTAAAATATATTTTGTGGATCTTTCAGGTGTTTCCCTTCTTTATTCCAGCCCCTGCATATGCGTCTAGAATTCTTCATAACAGATACAAATTCTGAAAACACACATAACATAAAGCTCGAGCGCATCGGACTCCGAATGCAAAAAAAACGTGTGAAAGCGAGCTACCGACTGGCTGTTCAGGAACATGGTTTTGATAATACCGTTTTGAATAACAAGAATTTAAAGCAAAGAAAATAGTAACAACATTCACCATTTCTCATGAGATAAAACGTTTCGGATTCCAGAACCTTCGTCACTTCAAAATCCTAAAAGACAAGCAGAAAAATTTAGCAAATTAAAATTTTCATCGCAGATAATAAAACCAAAATCGACAAATGAAAAAACAATCAAACATGAGGAGAAAGGCCTATTTATTCACTATTTCAAGGGGATAGGAAATGAGGGCGGGATTTCAGTTAAGTTTCTGTTTAAAAATAAACAGGGATTCAAAAATTCGTTGGTCAGAAACACCGGTTGTGGAAGCTGAAACTCTAAAATCACTACAGGACGCCGGAACATTGCACTACTCGGCATGGCCGCGCACAGTTGAGTGATGTGAATGCTCAAGCAAGTTTCCCGTTTTATAACTTCTGCCTCAATACTCCGCCATTCCAGTATTTAAATTGCGAGAAGTCATACCGACGTACGCAGATATGCACTGCGTAAAACTATACCTATAAACTTGGGACGAACGCGTACAAAGAGGAAGAGCAATTTTAT